TAAGATGCAGCGTTTTCAAGGCGATTCAGATATCGCCGAATGATCATTCTACGTGATATTCACCGGTACTTTCTTCGGATAGGTACAACATGAAGTTTCATCTCGGTTAAAAGAGAATTAATTGACATTTCGAAGGCGTTTCTAACTTCCTATTTTCCCGGAAATTTATCGACGATAGCTTCTGAGACAGTGTGTAACAAAAATTTGACAGAGATCGTAAAAATGTTTAATATACACACCGGCATTTCTTTTTTTAATTTTAAACATTTTGTATACTTGAGGTCACTCGATAGAATTGTCATGATTTCCTTTTTACTGTCTCTCATTTCATCGTAATAAATTATTAAAATCAGAGTCTAGGAACTTTTGTTACACACTGTATCATTCGTCGATACTGCAGATTTATAATTAGAAATAGGAAATTTATGATGACTATTCTGTCAATGACGTTAAAAAGATAAACACGTTTCATCGAATAAGTGAAAGATACAAGTACACACACGTATCAAACGACACTTGCAAGTAATTCAGCAGCTACTTATGCTACCTGTTTTTAATTAACGTAATGTACAGGTTCGATGTATTTACTTTATACAAGTCACTATTCAATTTAGGACAATAGAAACATCCTTTTTCCAACTTTTTTCTGTTTTGAGACACACGAATTGAAATAGAGGACACAAACATTTGAAAAATTTTATTATAGAAAATGTAATTAAAGCATTTATTGTGCTATGCTGTAATTAAAGATTACAAGGTGTTTCCAGACCATAGATCGATAATGAAGTAAGTTCACACGTAATTAAGGAAATGTTTAATCGATATAAAATAGGAATCTAACTGTACATTCTGTAATTTACTGCATTATGAACCAAGGAAGCAGCGGTAGATTTGCTAAATTTAATAAAGTAAAAAATTGATAGACAATAGAACTGGCAAAACTGAATTTCTCAAGCAACACTGTGACATTGTTTATAAAATTATTATACCACCCATGGTACACGATAGTTTTCAGAAATAGACTTTTGTTCATGCCCGAGTTTGACACGCTCCATTGCAGTCAAATTTCATTATTTTTCAACGAAAAAATTTGTAATCATCCTCCAAGGAGAAGTAAATACATAGGAGTAAAGCTTATGTTAATAACTATTACTGAATTTCTACAATAAATTTGCAAAGAAGCCTAAAAAAATGGCTGTACACTAGAATACCCCCTTAAGAGTGGAAGAATACTGTTAAATTCAAAACTCAATCAAAACACCTACACAAAAGTAGATTAAAATAAAAATACTCTTGTCACTTTATGTAACTTCACTTCAAACTTCTTCCAAAACTCATATTTTTCTCATGGCACGAAACGCGTTAAGCAACACCACTCGAATAAATCGAACTGAAATTCCTCAGCACTGTACGTCAAACTTCGAACGAAAGTGAACCTCCTTGCAAGCTCCAACGTAAACAACCATTTCACAACAACATCGCACAAACCATACAAATGCTCTGCCAACCAAGCTACGCCTAAAAATCACCAAAAAAATCCTTCCTCGAGTTTCATAACATAAACAAACCAAATACAGTCAAGAACCAAAATACGAGTTAGACGAAAGAATACTTCCCGAAAAACACAGTATATAGATCATTATCGATATATTACAAAACACTTCTGTTGATAAGCGAAGATACGAGCTGGACCTAAAACGAGTTACACCTGAAAATCACCGAAAAACTTCCTTAACACGTTGACTGCCACGTGGCCACCTTTGACCTCAGATTGCTTCCTGTCATCTGTGGTCATCAGTGCCTCAAATGTTTAGAATAATTAAAGTAAAATGAATGTCGTCGACTAAAAATTTCGAACATCATAGCTAACTAGACACTATTTTAAATTTAAAAAAATAATAATAAAGCATAATATAATATTGAAATTTTTCGAATA